CACACACACACACACACACACACACACACACACACACACACACTGTGAACTCTTTGGCCCAGAGGGTTAAATCATATGAAGTTGTGGCTCACTGACTCATGACCGTGAAGCAGTTAAAGTGAGCCTCTGCCTCTGAGAATGTCTGAGCATCTTCACATGTAGGAGAACAGGAACTTGTAACTGCTCGCTCATTTTACAAGCTGGTGTTATGAAGCTTTTGTGTGAACAAAAACAAAACAAAAACAAAACAAAAAAAAAAACGTGACTGTTTGAAGTGTGGAGAAGTGTCAAAAGTGATGACGTTGCACCTTGAAGACAATCCTGATACTGTGGGACGAGTTCGGACTGTCTAAGTGATAAATGTGTTGTAGATACTGTAAAATAGTAAATAGGTGAATATTTTTGTAACAAACTGTAGACGTGACGACATGTTTGCCTTTTGTCAGCCCAGTTATAGTGTTGGCTGTATGGTTGCTGTAAATAAACCACTTTTAAAAAACAGCAGAGCAGCAAACGTGCTCTTTTTTTTTTTTTTTTTTTTACAAGTTTGTGAATTTGTGTGAATGTGAGTTTTGGTTTTTGGTCTCCCAAGATGCTAATCTCAAGGTGTTGCAATATACAGTAAAAAAATTAAATGGGCATCTACTCTGAAAATAGTTACTTCAAACACGTCAAACCTCAGTGAGAACCCTTAATTAATATTTTTACAATTGAAAATGTACAAGCAGATTATTAGAAAAAAGCTCAAACTAGCCTTTATTATTTTATTAGCTTTCTGGTTGGGGAGCAAAGAAAGAGCTCAGACCTTTTGAAATGAGGATTTGTGGAAAACTTCTGAGCAATCAGTATCTTACCTGTTGTAGGTAGCTCTTTAAACAACCACCATTTGGAGAAAGTTTAATTCTGATTAAACTAAAGACCAAAGTAAATTGGCGGGGTCCTGAAATCACTTCAGTATAAAATCACAGATGAATGCAAACACAATGATTTCACCTTACACTTCTATTCGTAGAAATCAATCGATTATTTTTAAGCGCAAACAGAGGCAGCAGCAGCTAGCTGTAGCTCCTCTGGTGAGAATATAATTTTTACCGCTGGATTAAAACCCTAATGAAAAGATTATCGTTTTAAGACAACAACCYACTTTGACATCAGCCTCACTCAGATTGTCACACATTACGTTATCGCTAGCTAACGGTCAGTCACTAGCTGTTAGCTAGGGCAGAGTTAAACTGAGGTGGTTCAAACAGCTATAAACAGATAACRTATTGTTTATAAACTTTCCACAAAAGACCTGAACTACAAGAGAACTCCTCTCAACTGAAACCATTTCTGGAGCTTCCTCGTTGGCCGCTCCTGTTGAGGTAAAAGCTGCGTGAGTCAACCTGCTGCGTTGAGAACCACCCAGTGAGCTCTCTGAAGCCCTGCTCACACCTTCAGTTTCCATGGGAAGCTCCTCCTCAGCCTTAGGTCTGACGAAGACAAGCAGAGACAATGTTACAGCTGCAGTCTCAGCTCGGCTCACGTCAGAAACAGACGCAAACAGACACTTTGTGGTGCTGAGTCAGCGTCCTTCATCCACCAGAGTTTGGACTCCTTTACCCTTTGTGTCTTGGCTGCATTAGCAAATTGTGCAACAAAAAGGCCTTGTTATTAAAAAAAAAGGTTGAACACCTGTGTTTCTACTTGTTTCAACAGCTATTAATGATAGGAGAGATGCACAGAAATGCATCTGTACGCAATAAAATCTGCTCTTCTCAGAAGTGAGCTGACTGTGAACCATCAGTAACGAGCGCTGTCACTGGCTAGTAACTGGAAGCTGGTTTTATCTCAGGGGGTTTAGGGACTGATTGGAGATCCAAGGGTCTGGTCCACTGGATATGTTTTCCCCCAAAATGCATTTTTATTTGTTGTTTTTAAAAGTATCCTTATGAATGTCTTGCTGCACAAGTGACAAAATGCTGCAGTAACCATTCCAGGGCTGTATGTGGTGCTGTAACACTGCCACTAAAATACGCCAAAAACAGGAAACGAGGTGTGTAACAAGTACACGCTGTATGATAAATGTAAACAGAAGAGGAAATAGTAGTGTTGCACTTTACTGTAGATTAGAGATAGGGCTCTGATGTCGTGATTTACAAAAAGGTGTTTATTGCTGTCGAAAGAAAAACGTGTAAATTCAAGTTTGTCCCCACTCTGGTTTAGTTTGTCAAAAACTGGCTTCTGTGCGCATAAAAAAAAAAACTTTGAGTGGATAAAAAAGCCACCACCGTGTGGATTGCCAAGGTATTATGAAAGAAATCTGAAAATTTTTCACCTGCTGTTAAACTGAACTGGAATGTGCAACATGACTGCATCAGTAACCTCAAAATTAAAATAAAATAAAAGCAATACCGTAAATCACGTACAATTTTTTTTGCCGCAACAATTACAWAGAGTCTTAATGGTTACTCGGTTTGAAACCGAAATGAGAAGGCTGCCAAAYGTTGGCATCGACTGATAATTTTGAAAAAATCTGTTGCACAAATTTTTCTGAAAACCCCCGTGAACAGTTTGAATACTTCCTCAGAGAAACAAGCTGAAGATGGTTCTTATAAAACTTTACCGTCTAATAAGACTTTTAATTTTACTGTATATTTAAATAACCTTTTCAGCTGAGTGAAACAAATTACAATGTAAGATTTTTAAGGTCACACCCGTGTAGGCGATCTCATTACCGGATTTGAATGTGAGCTAACTTCAGCTAACTATCAGGAAGTCTTAGATTTGTTTGCCAATGTTTCTGAAGCAGGTTTTTTTTTATTTTACTTCAGCTGCAAACAGCTTGAATTCAAACATATATTCAATGTAACAAAAACTGTTCAGTATGTCTCCTCTCCCATGTCCTCTTTAAACTCCTGACAGACAAAACAGATGGAGCAGCATTAATTCAAAGCCTAAACAATGAGCACATGACAGGAAGCACAGATTAAGTTTTCTTCCTCGTGCTGATCTGAGCAGGAAAAAACAATTTTCTGCAGCCCTGTGAACAAAAAGCAGATAACTAATGAACAGGCAGTAGGTGTGGAGTTGAGGAAACAATGAAAATAAAGCAAAAAAAAAAATTTATACCAAAGATTTTTATAATCAGTGTGTGGCCCAGCACCAATTAGCGTTAAAGGCTGATGAAACATAATTAACAGTGACACGAGGGAAAGCAAAGAACTGGAAAATAACCTGTTTAAAAAGTAAAACATGATCAGCACACCAAGAGTTTTCATGTTTAATATCAAATCTTTTATTCAAAGGAAAATGGGACAAGCATGTCAAATAAGTCAAACATGATTASAGAAAGAAAAGTTGATGAATTTACAGATTAAGTGAAAATGTGGTACGATGTTGTGTCTCATCCTTCAGCTTTCTGAGTCCATGAAGAAAGTTTCGAAGTTCTGGTTGAGCTCCGACACCAGAGCGTCCACAAAGTCATCTATGGTGGGCCGTCTCTGCAGCATACCTGTCTCACACACACAGAAAACAGAGCTGCTGGTAATAGAGTGGTATTAAGAAACTGGCTTTGATGTTGCCTTTTTTTTTTGTTCCTACAACTCCCACTTCACAAATGACAGCTTTTTGAATCATTTCAATGGTCAACACAGGGATGGGGGAGGATTATGACGGTTAAAAAAACAACAGTCTGCCACATAATCTGACTACACTGGAGCTGTGGAGCAAACGTTAACTGTGTGGCCGAGGCCTGGGAACGTCTGGGTGTTTTCAGAGCCCGTCTGCCCGCTCATGCGTAGAGGACTCCCTCGCTCGCTTCACAATTCAGTTGCACGCTCGCTTTGAAGTCAGTTCATTTCCCCTTGTGTAGCTGCCAATGTAAATAGGCGCCTACCCATCCCCCTCCTCCTCTTCCTCTACCCTTCTTTCCTGCATGGGTCACCTCCACACACACACCAGCATGTCGGCCCTGACACGCATGACTGGAACTGCACTGAACACACACACACGAACATTTAGTGGAGTTCATGCTGCTGCCGCCCTGAACCAGATGCAGCAGGTAGGAGCTGTGCGGGTCGCGGGAGAACACTAAAAAAGGTGGGGGATTATCATCTCTTATTACCCACCTGTCACACCCCGCCTCGTGGCTATAAGACGATCCCAATGCAAAGAGGTCAGCGGAGTGCTCCGCAACCACATGAACCCGGTGGACGAGGCATGAGTGCCGTCGTACCCAAACACTTTACCGTTCAGAGCTGGGACTGAGAACTAGAGCATTAAACTCTACAACTGGATTATTAGACCTTCATCTGTCCAACATGAAGGCCCACTTATCAGGTTACACCTCAAACACTGCTGAGAGAAATGTGCCCGAGTGTCAAAACATAAAAACCCTGAAGGTCTTTCTGTGGGACTCCCAGWGCATCTCAGGATGAAAGGGGCTATGTTATTTAAGATTATTTTTTATGGGTTGGTCATTCCTTAGAAAAAAGAAGTGGATAGTGCTTACATTTAAACAAGAAGCTTATGCAYTGAAGTGCACTTAGTGCTATTTTGTTTTATTTCTGTCACATTTCTTGTCTTTTCTCATCCCCCAGTTTTGAAGTAGACAAGTTGCAAATTATACAATAAAATGTGCAGCTTGGTATCGTGGTACATCACACAAAAATCAGCAAAACACTACAATTTCCCCCTTTTACTGTACATAGCCTAATAATTGGGTTAGTCAGAAAGGTTATTTTCCCTTTTTTTCCTGAAATGAAAGTTGGCATTTTTACATGATTTCACCACGTCTCCCTCACTGCTGTAGAATTTACGATTTTTTTTCTTCATATTGTTTGACTATCAGTCATCTGTTGCTCACGGTTCAATATTATTATTTTTTCTTGGTTTGAGGCTTCCATCTTCCATGAGCCTTATCAGGGGTGGGTGGTCACCTTCTTGGTTCCCTTTAAACATCTTACAGTTTGGGCATCAAAACATTGGAGTTTTTCATCTTAAAGTGCCTGTGACATCATTTTTTATAATAAATATGAATGYATTTTTAGAAAGGTAACAYTGACAACACATTKTAAAGAAAGACTTCATGCAGCTGGGATGAACAGTTGTTGAGATATTCGCATGTGAAGTAACAGGAAGTGATGTCAAAGGGGAATGTCTGAATGTGAACAGAGCGTTGCTGCAAAGACAGACAACACAGACTGTAGAGAAGAATCTGATGTTTCTGTAGATTATTTTAATTACTATAATAGAGCGATGAGAGATGAAGAAGAATCAGAGTTCAAAAAATTTTATTTAATTAAACAAAAACCAGAGTTTTATTTCTTAAAGAGTTCCCCTTTGATGTCACTTCCTGTTTCATGTTGTCTGAGCAAAGTTCAAAAGAAAATATGCCAATTATGGGACATAATTGGTAAAATCATATGTATTATAGCAAGTTTCTTAAATATAAAGATGTTTTCTTTGACTTTTTGTATTTCATGGATATGCATGTCACAGGCACTTTAAGAGTTTTACAAAGTCGAYGGCACCCTACAAAAACATACTTAAATATGCTGTGTTATATTTTGTTTAGGTTCTGCAGAGTGGTGCCTTGGTTACTGTTGACTCGCAGCTAGGAGGAGTTGTGGTTAAATCTCGGGTTTTTGCATGTTTTCCTTCGCTTTGCTCTGGCAGTCTAAAGAACCTGCATWTCAGGTTAACCAGAGACTCTAAAAGGCTGTGTGTGTGGGGGGGGGTGAATGGATGTGGACGTAGATGGATGGAGGTTGTGCTGACTGAGCCAAACCAGCAAAGATACTGAGTAACTGAAATAGAGTTGCTTYCTTTTACTGGTAAAATATGCAGCCCAGTAACACACAATCATGTCCTGACATGAAACTTTGTTACTTGGCTGACAGCTGCAAAGTAATCCACAAATATTATCTGGTATTAATGASAGAGGAGCCTGATATTAGAAGCTGTTTTTACAGATGTGTTTAAAATGAAAAGGATGAAAGTAATGCTAAAGAGATGAAGACTAAAGCTGAAACACTCAGAGGAAACAAACACATGGCTTCAAAACAAGCTGAAGAATTCAACTTTAACTTGTGAGCAGCGTTCTGCTAACAGCTGCCAATTAACTTTTGATTAAACCTGAGTTTTTCTTCACATATTGAGTTTAGAAGAAAACCTTTAAGTAAAAGAGAAAAAAATATTTTTTAGTCTATATATTACAAACCACACAACTATTTAGTCTATAGATGAGTCTTTAKAGTCAAACAAACTTAAACAATATCATCTGTAATCTGTAATGGTTGCTCTAACACACATTGTGTAATACCCATCATCACCTGCCTTTCATTGTAATGTGCGATGATGTGGTGTCGTATGTGTTCATGTGTCTATACCAAACATTTCACAAACCATTGTACTGTTTCTTTTATAAAACTCGCAGGAAAAAAATTAGATGTACTTTTATAATCATGCAACTTAAAATGCAAGATGGCTGTCACAGCCAATCGACCTTAGAAAACAGAAATTAATAAATATACTAAAGCCTTTTATTTTTACAAATATTGAATTAAATTTAGTGTGGTAGTAGATCAGATTTATCCTAACTCTTACTGAGCACTGAAAGATAATGTAAGACCTTACTTATGCTACTTTCATATTGAATATGTTGGTACAAATTCATTTTTAATGGGAATTTTATTATTATTTTATTATTATAATAAAAATCTATTCATCTATTTAAAATCATGAGTTTATGGTGGGTGACAGATCTGTGCTGGAGGTGAGCCGGATCAGAACCCAGACTTCCCTCTGGAGCCATGCTGTTGCTCTCTGCACAGAATTTAGTTTCAGATTGTCTCATGGAAATAAACAAATTCTCCACAGAAAAAATGTGTAAACAAACAGATTCCTTCTGTATATTAATATGGTTGTATGATATACTGWTGTGCTGTTGGGGTTGGGACCCCCTCTGTAGGTTATAAAACATCAAGAGAGGGTCCCAAGATGATTTCCAGACATAAATTTAAAAGCAAATAAATTGCTAATGGAATATTTTCACCAAAATAAATTAATAAGATCAGTATTGTAGTTATTAGGTTTATTTATATTGTTATTATGTCCATGTTTAACAGAGTTTTTAGCTAAATTTGCTTATGTAAACCAGTAACATGTGGGTTCACAAGTTTTTAAAACTCTTAATTTGAAAACCACTGCTGTCATTCCTTCATAAACATTCAAGTTGACTTGTTGTTCATTTTTAGTGATTAAACACTCAACTCTACTCAGCTGTCCAACTAACCTTTTGATGAGTGATTTTTCAAAACCATTTCCATTTTCCTCCACTAGTTTTGTTATTCTGTAGATTCTGGCTGAAGCAAACCAAACGACAGCTGAAATGTGCAGATTCACACAGCCRTCCGGCCTCTTGTGGTTTAGACCAGCAGCCGCAGCAGAGATACAGTAACGGTCTTTTTGCATGCTTGATAGTGTTTCAGCTGGCAGAGCTGTATATAAACTCCTGGCCGAGCACCGAGGATAAACCCAGAGACAAACCAAACAAAGGCTGTGCTTTGTGTCCATTGTTGCCGGAGCCTTAGGACAGAGACTTCGCCGTGTGAGTCATGTCGTCCTTAAGGGTTTCCATTTCCACTCATAATGGCGCTGACGCAGCCATTGAGGAACGGGCCCTTCTACTCATTACAGTCATTCCAGGGCCAGCACCGTAAGCCAACTTGGCCCACAGAGTCTGGGTAAAACAGCAGGTGTTAAAGGACACACAAGGAGCTGGAGGCTCATTGGAGCAACTGGCAGCTGGGTTCCTTGCTCAAGAGGACTTCAAGAGTGCTCGCTGAGTGAGGGAAGAGCACCGCCGATTCACTTTCTTGTCCGATTTGTTAAAGCCAGTGTGAGAAAATTCAAATGATGGACTCTCTTCTTGACTTGAACAAAAACGGTCTCTTCCTACTTGAGACAGAAGACGTTATTCATACAGAGAAATGGAAACTCTTCAAACCGATGGGGCGTGATGTGCCTGACGATCACAAAACTGTTCTACAAAATGCTTTACTTCACTACAAACAGGCTCCAGAGCTAGATCTAAACTCCTGTTCTGAAGCTCCAATCTTACTCTACAATCCTTAAACTAAATGGGGCTTTACCTCTGCCATTAGTGAACAGCATGCAGAGAAAAGCGTGTTTATTTTCTCAGAGGGTGGTGGACGATTGGCATCTGTAAAATGAAGACCTTTGTGGCTTCTAGCAGCTCTGGGTCATGGTAATGACAGCTCTGGGGACAAGAACTCAGCAGAAACTCTTCAAAATTGCTGTCCTGCCTGCAGCTACTGCTGGATAAAATTTATCTACCGTCTTAGTTATCACCAAGAAAACCTTTTTATTCTTACAGCCAAGACACCAGGACCAAACAAACAAACAAACAACMCCCMMCCCCCCCCCACCCCAACAATTTGGTGCCTAAAGTTCCCTGAAGGAATGAATACTGTCCACCAAGATTCAAAG